GTCACGTTTTTCAACAAATTTGCCATTTCAATACGAAGTTTGTTGATAAGAACATTTTCTAGTTAACTAAATGGAAAATATACGAGTAAAAAATCTAATTCTCTCTCTATATATACACATACACACACACACACACACACACACACATATATATATATATATATATATTTAAAGACATTTTTATGTTTAACATTCTTTTTATAGATACAAGTATTTTAGTAAATGCTCTGTTTATAATAAAACAGTATTAAATAACATTTACCGGCCTGAATGTCAGAGAAATTTTCATAGAAAATATTCGTCCTTTGACAGGATTCGAACCTAAAAAATCAGGAGATAAGTTGAATCCGCTACCTTTGTTTCAACCCTACGGTATCCTAGGCGATTATAAATTGAAAACAGAAAAAGTTAAAAATAATGCCATTTCCGAACGGAAAGAACCATTTGAACCAGAAATCCGAAGTCTTGAATCCTTGCAGACATATTTTAAAAAATCCTCTTAAGAACATATACGGTTGGATAAAAAAAAAATATGTCCAGTTCAATTACCCCTCCTCCCACCGATACATTTATAATAACCTTATTTTCCTTCTCTTCCCCCTTCTTTTTCTTCTTCTCTATCTTTCTTCACATCCCCCTTTCCCTTTCTATCACACCCAACGTCTTGCGTTTGTTTGCTTATTTATTTTTAAATAACATAGCGTTCATTAGTTTTTGTTCTTTAAATAAACGCGTTGGGAGGTCATTTGATAAAAAAAAAAAATCCCAAAAAATGAGGATATCGTAAGGTGGAAAACAAGTTAGCGGATTTAGCTGACCTCCTGATTTGTAAAGTTAACAACTCTACATGTTATTTTTACTTTTATTGTATGTTTTCGCTCATGTATTGAGCACATTTTAATACTACTGTTTTCTGGTCTGATGCAAATCTGACCATTAACCTTTATGTATTATATATATATATATATAAATATATATATATATATATATATATATATCCACAACATCAGTAACATTTTAGACACCCGCATTTACATAGATGAAAACAGGAAACTACAAACGACACTACACACTAAAAATCACTGACACCCACAACTATCTACACTTTAAGTCTTCCCACCCTAAACACCTCAAAGAGAACCTTCCCTATTCACAAGCACTTAGACTCAGAAGGATATGTTCCAACAATGAAGAATTAAATAAACACATTGAAAATCTGGAGCATCAATTCACAACACGTGGCTATAAACAACACCTAAACAGGGAACAAATAAATAAAGCAATTTCCACACCTAGAGAAGGCACCCTAATATACAAGATTAAAAATAAATCTAGCCGCATCCTCTAGTAACCACTTTCAATCTCACTCTGCCTCCACTATCCCAAATAATCAAACGTCGCTGGGAAATACTACATCTCAAACCAGACCTAAAAAACTGCTTAAGGAACCCGGCCTTCATGCATATCGTAGACCTAAGAACCTAAAAAGAAATCATAGGTAGTAACCACATTTCAGGGGACAAGGTAATCCGTAAGGAACTGAGAACAAAAACAACAGGATTTTCCCAACCATGTAACAACAAAAGAAGTTTATGTTGCAACCATATTAAAAACACGAATTCATTCACTAGCTCAATCACTAAATCTACTTTCAAAATCTACCACGATTCTAACTGTAGAAGTCAAAACATAATTTACCTCCTAGAATGCACACTAGGCCAGAAACAATATGTAGGAATATCTGAATGGCCCTTTAACTATAGAATTAATAATTATCGTAAGCGAATTAAATCGACTCCCTATGAACAGTTATTACCTGTAGAACAACATTTCCGCCTAGAAAAACACGATTTCAAAACCCATGCCAGATTCACTATAATTGAGAGAATAGAAAAGTTCAGAGCAGATAACATTAGAAAGATTTTAGAGTCCCATGAAAATAAGTGGATACAACGTCTAAAAACACAATACCCAGCCGGGCTAAATCATAAATTTAACAATATATAATAGTAACAATCAACAAATCAAAACCTACCCACATTTCTCACCCACACAAGACAGACATGCTTACGGAGGAATGGAGGCCTCACACTTATACACTCACCCACACGATTATACACACGTACACACACCATACTCACTCACTCCCTAATGAGCCAAATGATAACACACACCTACAGCAATACACACGCTTACACATATCATACTCACTCACTCCCTAAGAACCAAATAACACACACAAAACACTAAACAGAGACACATCCCCTCACCAGGTCCAATAAAACTGTCAAACTGACCAGAGAATTCAGGATAAAATGTATCTATCCAGTTCTTATCTCAAATAACAACTTAAAAGAGACTGTTTGACCAACACAAGGAATGTTAAAAGATTCATGTGAAAAAGATAAAAATAAAAAAACAAATGAAAACTACAGACAAAAGTTCATTTTCTCCAACAAAAGACATTCATTTCTGTAGTTCACTGCTAACAGCAAGCAGAAATATTTCTCCTCCCGATGATGGCCATTTCGGTCGAAACGAGTCGAGGAATCTAAATGGAATAATAATAATAATAAAACGAAAGAATATTAATCTACAACCCAGTGTGTCTAATGATTTTAATTTTTTAATTTTTTATTTTCTTATTGTTCAAAAACATATATATATATATATATATATATATATATATATATATATATATATATATATATTCATGAATTATTCACACAAAACAAATGCAAAGGTTAATGATTTAATTGGCGAGAAATCCATCGTCGCAAACAATTCAAATAATATACAAAAACCTCCGAATCCGTTATGAATGAAAAGATCCTTGTTTCTATAAATTTCTGCCGTATTAGTTCTTATTTTTACTACAAGCTTTCGTCTGTTCCTACAGACATCTTCAGGCATGGAATAGATGTTGTTCTTGTTTTTTCTCTTAGTAATAAGAGGACAACGAAAATATATGTATTGTTGTATCCGAAAATGCTATTGGAAATGAGTTATTGTTTTTGGAGCGCGCAGTAGCAACGCTGAGTTTGATTTTAAATTTTTTACAGTTGTGCGTTCATGTACAAATATGGTGATATACGAATTTTTTACTGGTAAATTTTCTGTCAAAGTGGCATGAACTATATTGTCCAATAATTACAGTAATGTCGCACTTATTATCCAAAAGTCGCACTTGGATCAGTTATTTTAATTACGATAAACGTGCAATCAATTTACAAATACATGAATTATTCACACAAAAACAAATGCAAAGGTTAATGATTTAATTGGCGAGAAATCCATCGTCGCAAACAATTCAAATAATATACAAAAACCTCCGAATCCGTTATGAATGAAAAGATCTTGTTTCTATAATATATGTATTGTTGTATCTGAAAATGCTATTGGAAATGAGTTATTGTTTTTTTCCAATAGCATTTTCGGATACAACAATACATATATTTTCGTTGTCCTCTTATTACTAAGAGAAAAAACAAGAACAACATCTATTCCATACCTGAAGATGTCTGTAGGAACAGACGAAAGCTTGTAGTAAAAATAAGAACTAATGCGGCAGAAATTTATAGAAACAAGGATCTTTTCATTCATAACGGATTCGGAGGTTTTGTATATTATTTGAATTGTTTGCGACGATGGATTTCTCGCCAATTAAATCATTAACCTTTGCATTTGTTTTTGTGTGAATAATTCATGAATTTGTAAATTGATTGCACGTTTATCGTAATATATATATATATATATATATATATATATATATATAGATAGATAGATAGATATATACTTGTGTGTGTGTGTGTGTGTGTGTGCATTACATATATATGTGGTAATGAGAATAATAATAATATTAGCCGTTTCCTTATAAAGAAATATTTGGTATTCATTGACAGAGCAGACATTGCCACTTTCGGTTGAAACGTATGTTATTTTTCTCTTAAAATAATTGTTCAAGAAAATAAGTTTCTCAAATCCAGTAGCTGTTCTTTCCAGTATTGATGGGTGTTTCCTCCTCCCCCCACAGCCTATTTGATGGAGTGCAGAATGCTAACATCTTGATTGTATCATTATTTTTTGTTCGATTTAAATCGGATATCGATTTTAGCCGTAGCTGTTATTTAAAAATCGTCAGGTGATATGGCATCTGTGATCTGGCACAATTACTTGATTATGATTGCTTAGCGCGAAGAAAGATGGTCCTTGCTAAAATCTATATGCTTAAATCACTCGAATATAAATGCACTGGAATAGATAGATACATAATGTACATGCTGACAGATAGATAGATAAATGGATATAGAGTGATAGATATGAACAGATTAAGATAGATTGATTGATAGATACGAATAGAGTGAGATAAAGACACAGATAGATAGATAAGAATAGAGGAAGATAGACATATAGATAGATGCAAATAGATAGATAGACACGAAGCGAGTAAGGTAGATGGCGATAGATAAATAGATACGAATAGAGTGAGATAGATAGATATTTAGATAGATATAGAGATAGATAGGAACATACTGGCATAGATACATACACACATACGAATAAAGTGACATAGATAGATAGATAGATAGATAGATAGATAGATAGATAGATAGATAGATAGATAGATGCGAATAGAGTGAGATAGATAAGCAGATACATAGATCGATATGAATAGAGATAGTACAAGCCTAGTTACCCAGTGAGAATCGACTAGTAATAGTCTGCGAGATTTATTGGTTAACTTTTACTTGACGGGTAAGCTTACATTATAATAATACTTAGATTAAATTATACATAGCGAGGGCTGAAGAATGATTCGGTCAAAACTTTAGCAGCAGAAACTATACAGAGAGAATATTCGGGAGTTCAGACAAAATGGTACGGACTAATTTCAAAGTTACTGACAAAAAAACAAAAAAAAAAAACAAACAAAAAAACCTATCAAGTTTGGACTAGAATCCTTTATAACTTGGAAGCCTGTTTTAACAACCGGCTGGCATATGTCCTCTGGGTCATCTCTCTCCCTCTTCCTTTCGCGTCTTTCTAGAAACGATCCAACGTCGACTGTCCGTCATAAAAAAAATCAAATTATCCGTCGTCACTGCAGTTTATGATGTAGAGTTTGAAGAATTGAAACAGAGACGCCACACAAAACGTAACACATGCAGGTCGGGTTGATATATATATATATGATGAAACGACTTCTGTTAATTCGTTTGTTATCTGATCGCAGAGTTAGCAAAAGAAAGCGGATTAAGCTGCCCTCAAGTGTGGGGAAATGAAGAATTACGCCATTTTGCAATACATTCGAGACATGAGCCCGGTTTATGAAGATTTTGTCTTATGCTGGCTTTGATCGTAATAAAGATGATTGCGCCTTGCTCCCCAGATAAGACGCATGATTTGTTTGCCGGTTAGCGCCTTCATCTCAACATTTGTCGCTGTCAAGGAAATATCCACACCTGACTTCAGACACACGCACGCACGCACGCACGCACGCACGCACGCACGCACGCACGCACGCACGCACGCACACGCACACGCGCGCGCGCGTGCGCACAGAACATGCAAGAAGCAAAATAGTTCAGTTATTGGATAATATCCTCTTTTATTACAAGCGTTTAATAGACACATAATGACTAAGAAAGAGCGTCATGGGTAGGACGTTAAACTGCATCCAACAGCAAGGCCTCTGATCAGGAGGTTTTGAGGAGCGTGGAACTACCTCTTAACTGCTGATGTTCCCAGGTCCACTCTGACCCGGGGTGGTAGCACCTGTTAGGGTCCCAGCTATGGGCAAATAGTGAACTCCCAATCTAGCCCGCGTCCTGGGTATGACGATAAACTACATCCGAATCCATGGGCATGACGATAAACTGCATCCACATCCATGGGTATGACGGTAAACTGCATCTGCGTCCATGGGTATGGCGATAAACTACATCCAACAGAAAGTCCGTTCTTGAAAAATTAAGGTTATCGGCTAAACGGTTTTGGAAAAGTAGTATTACCAGCTGTACAGTTTCGAACGAATAATATTGCCAACAGTGTGTTTTTGAAAAATAATTTTAACAAAATCTTATTCAATGGAATTGTAACTGGGGTCAAAACACCGTGAAAGGATGATGTTTAAAAATAAAAAAATGATGTTGCCAGCCATACGTTTTTGAAAAATAATTTTAACAAAATCTTATTCAATGGAATTGTAACAGGGGTCAAAACACCGTGAAAGGATGATGTTTAAAAAATAAAAAATGATGTTGCCAGCCATACGTTTTTGAAAAATAATTTTAACAAAATCTTATTCAATGGAATTGTAACTGGGGTCAAAACACCGTGAAAGGATGATGTTTAAAAATAAAAAAATGATATTGCCAGCCATACGTTTTTGAAAAATAATTTGACAAAATCTTATTCAATGGAATTGTAACTGGGGTCAAAACACCGTGAAAGGATGATGTTTAAAAATAAAAAAATGATATTGCCAGCCATACGTTTTTGAAAAATAATTTTAACAAAATCTTATTCAATGGAATTGTAACTGGGGTCAAAACACCGTGAAAGGATGATGTTTAAAAATAAAAAAATGATATTGCCAGCCATACGTTTTTGAAAAATAATTTTAACAAAATCTTATTCAATGGAATTGTAACTGGGGTCAAAACACCGTGAAAGGATGATGTTTAAAAATAAAAAATAATGTTGCCAGCCATACGTTTTTTTGAAAATAATTTTAACAAAATCTTATTCAATGGAATTGTAACTGGGGTCAAAACACCGTGAAAGGATGATGTTTAAAAATAAAAAATGATATTGCCAGCCATACGTTTTTGAAAAATAATTTTAACAAAATCTTATTCAATGGAATTGTAACTGGGGTCAAAACACCGTGAAAGGATGATGTTTAAAAATAAAAAATGATGTTGCCAGCCATACGTTTTTGAAAAATAATTTTAACAAAATCTTATTCAATGGAATTGTAACTGGGGTCAAAACACCGTGAAAGGATGATGTTTAAAAATAAAAAATAATGTTGCCAGTTATACGTTTTTGAAAGAATGATGTTGCCGGCTGTGGGTTTTTGAAAAAAAAAAAAAAATAATGTTGCCAGCTATACGTTTTTTGAAAAAAAAATAATGTTGCCACTTGTACGTTTTTGAAAGAAATAATGTTGCAAGCTATACCAAAATCATTTTCGGCATAAAGTGACAACTAAGGTTGGAATGCCGTTAAGCAAAACAAACAAACGAAGAAAGATTGGAAAATTCTTATGGTTCAGGTTAGGACCAAGGAAGAACAACACGATCACAAGAGTAGAAATAACGATGGTATATTACCCGAAATAATAATACAAGATGTGTAAGGTGTTAGTATGACTGTCAGTCTGGTTTGGAGTGAACTACTATCGGCTCGACTCGATTCGGTATCTAGATCGAGGGTTGCATGTGGCACAAGGCCGAGTTTAACGTGGGTTTCGCGTGCCCGTAGGCTCGGCCAAAATATGCCCGTAGAACCCGTATAAACGGGATCTGGTTGGTCAACCGCCCCGAACGACAATCTGCCCTTCGGCGGAGCCTCGTCCGGGTTCCTCTCTGCTCTGAGGCAGGGAGTTCGACCGTCAAGCCGAGAAGCTCGGCTTGATTCGGTATCTAGCCCCCCCCTACGAGGGTTGCATGTGGCACAAGGCCGAGTTTAACGTGGGTTTCGCGAGCCCGTAGGCTCGGCCAAAAAATGCCCGTAGAATCCATATAAACGGGATCTGGTTGGTCAACTTCCTCGAATGAGACTCTGCCCTTCGGCGGAGCCTCGTCCGGGTTCCTCTCTGCTCAGAGGCAGAGAGTTCGACGGTCAAGCCGAGCTTCTCGGCTTGATTCGTCCCTCTCTCTTGAGGGGCGTAGTATACATAGTGTTAAGAAGAGTTCATTCTGTAGTTATAGGTAAGGACCCATGACAAAAATATTACACTCCCAGGACATATCAAAGGAAAATGGTCAGGGTTAGGCAGCGGTTCCCTTACCTGAAGAGCCTTTGAGTATAGATGGTTGAATAAGGGTTGAGAAGCTTGGAAATGGGGCAAACGTTAGTAGGCGAAACAAGCGGCAAGAGATTGTGGAGAGTCATAATCGTTCACGTTTTGAAGGTACACGGCATATAGAAGAAGAATATTTCATTATGCTACTAAGAACAAACTATTACAAGGCAACTTCTAAAATACCACAGTAATTTTTTTGAATCAACAGCTTCTAAAATCTCGGCTACAGTAACAACACATGACAGGTTCTAGCATCCTAAGATACCACAAGTCAGAGCAGCATATGCCCATTGCACATGCAAATAATCTGATACCTCCATTTCAATGCACTTCTCTACAGAACGATTTTACGTAAAAAGTGCTTTACCAGAGCCGAGTGTGAACAAACTGGAATAAATAGAGAGAAAAACATATGAGTAATTTGATAAGAATCCCTTAAAATAAGAACACATCATCAAATAAACTGAAAGACAATTATATCTGATGCCTGGGAATAACAGCTGCCGCAAGCATGGATGTGCGGGTGGTGTAATGGATAATGAAATTGTTAATCGGAGAGCGGAGTTCTAATTCAAGTTGTGTTCCTTATATTCACTTATGCGCAAATATCCTTGGGAATGGCATGGATCCACATATTTTACCCCCATCTATGGGTTAATTAGTAAGACTTATCAGTAAATCATTATTATCTGAAAACTTTCTTACAATCTAAAAATATATTTTGGTTTTAAATAACCTGCAAAGGTTTGATAAACCGTAGAAAATGAATGAATGAATGAATGAATGAATGAATCATATCAAATACTATTATTGTAAATAAACAAACAAGATGGCAGTATAATGATTAGAGAAGAATATAACTGTATAGCTTATCTGAGAGTCCGGTGAAAGGCTTCGTAGCCAAATTGCTTTTCTAAGAAATATAGGTGTGGGCAGACAAAGACCACCCATCACTGTCTGCCTTATACGGCTAGGAAGTTGAAACCCTAACCACACAGTTTGGAACACCCAAGTTCTGACCAGCTGTTTACCATTCTGGGCCAATCTATGCATTCTATATCACGAGAGAGCCCATCGGAATCGCAAACAACCTTTGTTATTGATATTCTTTTTCTCCCTTTCATCTGATTTTAGGACGTGGACGATCATGGCTCTCCACTACTTCCTGTCATTTGTAACCCTTCATGAGGTTTATCTTCTAATCACTGTTCTGGACAAATTCGTTTGGTAGGTTATTTGATGTTTTCCTCAGTCCAACTGCTTTCATTTGTCCTGTGAGTGTCAGATTCTCCAGGCCTTCTTTCTTCTTTATGTGGCCTACAAATTTCAACTTCTATGTATAAGTATCATTTTTTCCCATTTTCCTTAAAACTTTCTTATTGCTTACCAAATTCATCCATGATATTCAAAGTATGCACTGCATCTCTGTTGCCTCTCATTCCACCCCTGCATCCACTGTCATATAAGGAGGATTGATATTATATCGCAGGGAATCACTCTTTTCTTTGTTTCTAACGAAATTTTCCTGTTTCTTAATATTTTGCTTAAGTTTTGGAAGGCCACTTTCGCTATTCCAATACGCCTTCAAATTTCGATGCCACATGTTCCTTCCTAGATAATTTTGTATTACTTACCCCTGACTCAAATATTGTTGCCTGTGTAACTCTGGAAAATTTTTATATTTCAACCAAGTTTTACCAATTGGCCTGAGATCTGGACTTTAAAATTATTATTTGGTCTCTTTCGATTTTGCATTTAAGTACTATCACCTGAATAACTTTTTTTTTCTTTTTTACTTCAGAATAATATTGAAAACAATAATTGTCTTAACCGAAAAAGACTATGTGCATTTCAGTTCCATATCAGTCATCAACTTGAAAGCATCAATGGAGAGTAGCATTCCTGGCTTTTAATACAGAATTCTGTTGAGTCATTTTCGGTAACTTTCAGTTAACTTTGTTTAGCACTATTTACTAAGAAATGTCGAATTGTATATGAGAACCAAAGGAAGCAGTAATCGAGGAATTCATATCACCATATATAGAAAACTTAAAACTTTATGTTACATGTTTGATAAGTCATTTTAACATATCACAATTGATGATTTTGTTTTTGTCTTATACAAAGAACTAAGGATTTTGATTATCGCGAGAAAAAGATGTTTTTTACTGAACAACTTCTTGTAAAAAATGAAAAAAAAAATTCTTTTGATTCATTTTAAGAATTAAAAGGCAAACGTTAGTGGGTAAATACAATCTAAGGATAATCTAAGGATAATCTAACCTTATATAGTGTTTGTATTAAGGTGACGCAAAGCATCTCAGCCAGAGTTGCATTCCTTTGTAAATGATGATGAATGAAAAATAACGATAATTTCAAATATTTCATGTTTTATTTCTTAATTATTCAAGTCGTCACAAATCCACTTTGTCGTATAAAAAAGTATCTATCTATCTATCTATCTATCTATCTATCTATCTATCAAACGAATTAAATATATCTGACTATATTAATAGTTTATCAATTTTCATACTAATTCTCATAGCAATTTATTTTTTAGGTAAAACATTAGCATACAAACATCATTTAAAATGTCTCAAACTCAAATTTACTCAACTAAATTTATATTTGTGCAAAATCATCTTTTTCATTTAAAATTAAATTTACTAGTGTTGTAAATTATTTTTGCAATTTTAAATTCTAATCTTTTTGAATTAACTTGCGTTATTAATGTGTAACATGATGCATGGAACAGAAGATCTCTGGCTTCTAAAAACAAAAGAAATTCTCTAATGCATCTGATTACAAAACAAAAAAAAAAAGAAGAAAAAAAACAAAACACAATTCTGCCGTTGAGAATTAAAGAGGTTAAATTTGTAGCTTTTCAGTTTTTGATCGGACAAACGGCAAAGCAAGAATGTCATGCATCAGATTGAATTGTCAGAAGATCAATCATTTTTACAGTCGGCAGCGCTTTCTTACACTGGCAAAAAAAAACCCCTTGATTTCTCCATGGTAGCAACATGATTAATTATTCTATCTTTTTCCAACAGATTAGTAATTAATGAATTAAAATTGCTCTATAGACACAATCAACAACAACAATTACTTCTGAATTTAATATGCAAAAAAAGTAAAGATATACTTGAGGCAAAGCATAGATTTATCCCACACACATCAATTCATTCCAGTATATATATATATATATATATATATATATATATATATATATATATATATATATATATCTGTGTGTGTGTGTGTGTGTTTGTGTATAAAAGAGAGAAACCGCAAACGTTTTTGGTTATAATGTGGATGTGTTTTAGTGTATATATGTATGTAGTCGAAAAAATGAGATCAAGGCTCATTACAAATACAGAAAATGAACAATGAAAAGATATTTATATAAATGAGCATCAGGAAACTTTATTCCTTTTATAAATATATTCCATCTATTTGCCTGAAGAAGGTAATGAGACAGGAAACTCGTGTAGCAGAAATATGAAGGATAAAATATAATTTATGCACTAAAACAAATCCACATTATAACCAAAAGATTTCCGGTTTCTCTCAATTTTAAAATAGACATTTTTCTATCGTTGGATCAATTATAACATTATATATATATATATATATATATATATATATATATATATATGTATGAATGAATGTATTTTTGATCTGATACCTTTATTTCATCAAGCGTCGATAATCTTATTTGAAAAAGACACCCTGAACTCGAATTGCTACATTCGCCCTGAACTCGTGGTGCTACCTTCGCCTTGAACACTAAATGCTACCTTGATCTTGAACTCGAAATGCTACCTTCGCCGTGAACTCGAAATGCTACCTTCTCATTGAAATCGAAATGCTTCCTTCGCATTGAACTCGAAATGCTACCTTCGCTTTGAACTCTAAATACTACCTTGGCCCTGAACTCGACATGCTACCTTCGCTTTGAACTCGAAATGCTACCTTCGCCTTGAACTCGAAATGCTACCTTCACCTTGAACTGGAAATGCTACCTTCGCTTGAACTCGAAATGCTACCTACGACTTGACCTCGAAATGCTACCTCCGTCCTGAACTCGATGTACTACCTTGGCTCTGAACTCGAAATGCTACCTTCGCTCTGATATCGAAATGCTACTTTCACCCTGAACTTGAAATGCGACCTTCGCCTTGAACTCGAAATGCTACCTTCGCTTTCAACCCGAAATGCCACCTTCGCCCTGAATTCGAAATGCTGCTTTCACTCTGAACTCGAAATATTACTTTCGCACTGAACTCGAAATGCTACATTCGCTTTGAACTCGCTTTACTACCTTGGCCCTGAACTCGAAATGCTACCTTCGCCTTGAACTTGAAATGCTCTACCTTCGCCTTGAACCCGAAATGCTAACTTCGCTTTGAACTCGAAATGCTACTTCGTCTTGAACTCGAAATGCTACTTGGCCCAGAACTCGAAATGCTACCTTCGCCTTGAACTCGAAATGCTACCTTCACCCTGAACACGAAATGCTAACTTCGCCTTGAACTCGAAATGCTACATTCACATTGAACTCGAAATGCTACCTTCGCCCTGAACACTAAATTCTTCCTTCGCCTTGAACTCGAAATGCTACCTTCGCCTTGAACTCGAAATGCTACCTTCGTCCTGGACTCAATGTACTACCTTGGCCCTGAACTCGAAATGCTACCTTCCCCTTGGACTCAAAATGCTACTTCGTCTTGAAATCGAAATGCTACCTTGGCCCTGAACACTAAATGTTACCTTCGCCTTGAACTCGACATGCTACCTTCGCCTTGAACTCGAAATGCTACATCGTCTTGAAAACGAAATGCTACCTTGGCCCTGAACTCGAAATGCTACCTTCGCCTTGAACTCGAAATGCTACCTTCACCCTGAACTCGAAATGCTAACTTCGCCTTGAACTCGAAATGCTACATTCGCTTTGAACTCGAAATGCTACCTTCGCCCTGAACACTAAATGCTACCTTCGCCTTGAAATCGAAATGCTACCTTCGCCTTGAACTCGAAATGCTACCTTCGTCCTAAACTCGATGTACTACCTTGGCCCTGAACTCGAAATGCTTCCTTCGCCTTGAACTCGAAATGCTACCTTCACCCTGAGCTCGAAATGCTACATTCACCTTGAACTCGAAATGCTACATTCGCCTTGAACTCGAAATGCTACCTTCGCACTGAACACTAAATGCCTTCGCTTCCTAATGCGCGCTGAACTCGAAAAGTGCTACCTTTTGCCCTGAACTCGAAATGCTTTCGCCTTGAACTCGAAATACCACCTTCGCTTCATCTCGAATGCTTCGTCGTGAACTCGATGTACTACCTTAGCCCTGAACTCGAAGTGCTACCTTTGCCCTGAACTCGAAATGCTACCTTCGCCTTGAACTCGAAATACTAACTTCGCCTTGAACTCGAAATACTACCTTCGCCCTGAATTCGATGTAATACCTTGGCATTGAAATCGAAATGCTACCTTCGCCTTGAACTCGAAATGCTACCTTCGCCCTGAACTCGAAATGCTAACTTCGCCTTGAACTCGAAATGCTACCTTCGCCTTGAACTCGAAATGCTTCCTTCGCCCTGAACTCGAAATGCTACCTTCGCCTTGAACTCGAAATGCTACCTTCGCCCTGAACTCGAAATTCTACCTTCACCCTCAACACGAAATGCTAACTTCGACTTAAACTCGAAATGCTACATTCGCTTTGAACTCGAAATGCTACCTTCGCCCTGAACACTAAATGCTACCTTCGCCTTGAACTCGAAATGCTTCTTTCGCCTTGAACTCGAAATGCTACCTTCTCCTTGAACTCGAAATGCTACCTTCGCTTTGAACTCGAAATGCCCCCTTCGCCTTGAACTCGAAATGCCCCCTTCGCCTTGAACTCGAAATGCTACCTTCGCCTTGAACTCGAAATGCTACCTTCACCCTCAACACGAAATGCTAACTTCGCCTTAAACTCGAAATGCTACATTCGCCTTGAACTCGAAATGCTACATTCGCCCTGAACACTAAATGCTACCTTCGCCTTGAACTCGAAATGCTACCTTCGCACTGAACTGGAAAAACCTGCTACCTTCGCCTTGAACTGAAATGCTACCTTTCAACTTGAAATGCTAATTTTCCCAAACTTCGCTTTGAACTGGAAATGCTACCTTCGCTTGAACTGGAAATGCTAAACTCGAAATGCTACCTTCGCATTGAACTCGAAATGCTACCTTCGCCTTGAAATGAAATGCTCTACCTTCGCCTTGAACTCGAAATGCTACCTTCGCCTTGAACACGAAATGCTACCTTCGTCCTGAACTCGATGTACTACCTTGGCCCTGAACTCGAAATGCTACCTTCGCCCTGAACTCGAAATGCTACCTTCGCCTTGAACTCGAAATGCTACCTTCACCTTGAACTGGAAATGCTACCTTCGCTTGAACTCGAAATGCTACCTACGACTTGAACTCGAAATGCTACCTCCGTCCTGAACTCGATGTACTACCTTGGCTCTGAACTCGAAATGCTACCTTCGCCTTGAACTTGAAATGCTTCTTTAGCTTTGAACTCGAAATGCTACCTTCGCATTGAACTCGAAATTCTACCTTCGTCCTGAACTCGATGTACTACCTTGGCCCTGAACTCGAAATGCTTCCTTCGCCTTAAACTCGAAATGCTACATTCGCTTTGAACTCGAAATGCTACCTTCGCCCTGAACACTAAATGCTACCTTCGCCTTGAACTCGAAATCTTACCTTCCGCCTGAACTTGAAATTCTACATTCCACCTGAACTCGAAATCCTACCTTCTCCCTAACCTTGAAGTCCTACCTTTTCTCTGATCTCACAATCCTTTCTTCTCTTGAACTCTTTATCCAATCATTCTTTGTAACCGCTGGGAAATTCCTAATTCTTTCAACAACGATACATGTCACATTCACTCGTTCTTATTCAATCTGAATATATATATATATATATATACATATACATATATATATATATATATATATATATATATATATATATATATATATATGATATGTGCATGCACTTTCAGTTTAATTCGTTTGCATATCATATAAATGGATTTACACTGAGAATCTGTTTGCCAAGTCCAACAGCTTCCCTAATAAAATATCTCGATAAGGAAGAGGAAAAGATCCAGTCGCTAAACCTGACTCTATCTGCAAACAAGATCTGCGTTCTCGGGCATATTTGATTTCAATTTCTCTGTTTGATTTCATCTCTTCTCTATTATTCACTGTTGGAACATTCTAAAATTCTTAAGACTTGTTAGATGCTCAATAGAAACGTCAAGATATTTGAAATTTTCCTCTAAGAAAAATGATTTCAAGAAAGTACTTCTTGATGAAAGCAGTCATCTTCTCCATATATATGTTAAAGAAATGTTTGATATGCACTTTAATACAAGCAATAACCGTTTATAACGTTTTACATTTTTGTCCAGTGAGAGCTGGATCACTTGTATCGGCAATTCTAGATTATCATTATTATTATTATTTTTATTTTCTTTGATTTCTGGTG